TGAAGAAGGCGACCAAGGACAAAATGGATACACCATATCACGTGGAACCGTATACACTCGTACAGAAAACCGGAAACAGCTGTGTTGTTAAATCACCAGAGGGAGTGTTAGTGAAGCGAAATAGTGAATTCGTGAAAAAATATCAGGAACCGGAAAGTGTGTCCGATATTCCGGAGAATCCGAGTGATCTTAGTGAACCGAGTGTTGAGTCTAGTGCTAATAGTGATGATGTTCCATCCGCGGCTCCAGTAACTCCGAGCGTTAGAAGGTCTACCCGTATAAGGAAACTACCGCAACGTCTTAAGGACTTCGAACTGTGAAATATTTCTGTGTGAATGTTAATGACTGAAAGTTTTCTATATAGATCTGAGACTGTAAATTGTAAATGTTTTCTAATAATATTTTGGATAATAATTTCTTTCAGTAATTTATTTATTTTGAGAAGTGTAAAAGTTTATTCTTAGAAAAGGGGGTATTGTATTGTATCTAATTTATGTTGTGTCACTTGTGTGTAAGAGTTTGTGTGCTAGAGTTATGGTTCGTAGTGTGGGTCAGGTGTCAGTGTGTATCCGGCATGAGTAGTGCGTGCATGGACCGTCAGAGTGGAAGCATGTGGTTATGTACCTGTATACATGAATAAACTGGTAAAACCTTGATTCAATTCGAGTATTCTTCATTACAGTTCTGATCTGATGTGTGCTTTTTCTTAGCCATTGCTCAGGTGAGCGATGTGGCCCCTGGGCCTCTTGTTATTCATCTAATACTGTGTCAACATTGATTTCCGCTGTTTGTCTCGCCAGGACCCCACACATAATTTTATTTATGTTGAACAAGTGTGCAAGATCTGCTCCCATGCAAGAGTCACAGGATGCAGTGGATTTGGATTTGAATTTGGGCATGTATAATTTTCCTGAATATATGGATAAAGAAGATATGGGCATCTTAAATACAACTCTGGATGGGATTGTTAACATGCTGTCTGGTCTGGATAACAAACTGAATGATGTGAACACCAAGATGAATGGTCTTGATAACAAGGTGAATAAACTGAAGATCTTGATAACAAGCTGGATAAACTGAAATGTTACAACAGCAGTGGATTTTGTTACATTAGTGCCCAATTATCCCCAATCACAAAGTCATTAACAGGAAAGACAAAAAATGAGAGGGAGGGAAGCACTTACCAGAAAAAAGAAGGACCAGGGGGATCAGGAGAGAGTAAGAAAATTAAACAGATGGATCCATGCTACGTATTAGTAAAAGACTTAGAAAAAACTGAAGAAAAAACCCTCAGGAAACCAAGAGGAATCTACCCCTGATGATGGAAAAGGCCCAGAAGAAGAAAAAAAGTGGAGAAAAAAAGCCTCAGGAAACCAAGAGGAAACTACCCCTGATGAGTGATAAGGGACAGAAGAAAAAGAAAATGTAATTAGATGTATTTTTTCATTCTGAATAAAATCTGTGTTCTTGTTCTTGTATTGTGTGTGTTCTTGTCTTTTTTCAGTACAAAAAAAAAATCCAGGTTTGTTATTGTCTTTCAGTAAAACCAGTTTGAACCGGTTAGGCTAGGCTGTCTAGACTGTGAATGAATGCGTGACGTCATAATGACATTCTTGAGTCGCTGCCAAAATATTGTAGTAGCAGCGCATAGTATGATGTAAACACAGTGTAAACACCCCGTATTTAGGGGAGCTATGTACTGATCCACCTATTCCCCCAAGGACTGTACTGAGTTGAACCCCCTATTCCCCAGGGGATGCACTCCCTTGACCCCCTTATCCCCTCAACCAATCAGAATCCTCCATTTTTTGACCTCATTTGCATAATGTCCTAGATATTGACCCATCTATCTAGACGCCTTATACTACTGAGGTTAAAAGACGGTTTCAATTTGAGGTATAAATTCAAAGAAAGTTTTATTTTAAGTAAGGTACGGTATATAAATCATTCATTTGTCCTTTATTTGACTATTTACTACGTTTCTACTCCATAACTAAGACAGGCGTATGACCTTTCGTATTAAAGAATTTTGTTTTATTTTTAAACTATAACAATGAATTAAAAATATTTACATATTAAATGACACATTATGCAATATTTCATCGAATTTTGTCATAATTTTGAGTTGTGGACGATGCGTGAAAGTGTTATTTAAAAAAAAGAGTAGAGAAGTTCCAAATGCCCTCCTTTCAATCCGGATTTGTTTTCGTTTTTAGCTCACCTGAGCCAAAGGCTCAAGTGAGCTTTTCTGATCAAAATTTGTCCGTTGTCTGTCGTCGTTGTCGTTGTCGTCGTTGGCGTCGTCGGCGTCGTCGTTGTCGTAAACTTTTCACATTTTCATCTTCTTCTCAAGAACCACTGGGCCAATTTCAACCAAACTTGCTACAAAGTATCCTTGGGTAAAGGGGATTCAAGTTTGTTCAAATGAAGGGCCATGCCCTTTTTCAAGGGGAGATAATTATGAATTAGAGAAAATTTAATGGCATTTTTAAAAAATCTTCTTCTCAAGAACCACTGGTCCCGGAAAGATGAAACTCATGTGGAATCATCCTCAGGTAGTGTAGATTCAAGTTTGTTCAAATCATGACCCCTGGGGGTAGGGTGGGGCCAAAATGGCCGATCAAAGTTTTACGTAGGAATATATAGGAAAAATCTTTATAAATCTTCTTCTCAAGAACCACTGGGCCAGGAAAGTTGAAACTCATGTGGAATCATCCTCAGGTAGTGTAGATTCAAGTTTGTTCAAATCTTGACCCCTGGGGGTAGGGTGGGGCCAAAATGGCCGATCAAAGTTTTACATAGGAATATATAGGAAAAATCTTTAAAAATCTTCTTCTCAAGAACCACTGGGCCAGGAAAGATGAAACTCATATGGAATCATCCTCAGGTAGTGTAGATTCAAATTTGTTCATATCATGACCCCTGGGGTTAGGGCGGGGCCAAAATGGCCGATCAAAGTTTTACAGAGCAATATATAGGAAAAATCTTCTTCTCAAGAACCACTGGGCCAGGAAAGATGAAACTCATGTGGAATCATCCTCAGGTTAGTGTAGACACAATTTTGTTCAAATCATGACCCCCGGGGGTAGGGTGGGGCCAAAATGGCCGATCAATGTTTTACATAGGAATATATAGGAAAAATCTTCTCAAGAACCATTGAGACAGAAAAGATGAAACTTCTGTGGAATCATCCCTAGGTAGTGTAGATTCAAGTTTGTTGAAATCATGACCCCCGGCGGTAGGGTGGGGCCAAATGGCCGATAAAAGTTTTAAATAGGAATATCTAGGGAAAACTTTTAAAATCTTCTTTTCAAGTACTTTAAAGCCATGCTTAGTAATATTTATAGGGAATCATCCTCAGGTAGTGTAGATTGAAGTTTGTTCTAATCATGACCCCCCGGGGGGTTAAAATTCAAGCCCCCTCCCCCCCTTGATAAACTTACAGTTCTGATCTGATGTGTGCTTTTTCTTAGCCATTGCTCAGGTGAGCGATGTGGCCCCTGGGCCTCTTGTTATTCATCTAATACTGTGTCAACATTGATTTCCGCTGTTTGTCTCGCCAGGACCCCACACATAATTTTATTTATGTTTAACAAGTGTGCAAGATCTGCTCCCATGCAAGAGTCACAGGATGCAGTGGATTTGGATTTGAATTTGGGCATGTATAATTTTCCTGAATATATGGATAAAGAAGATATGGGCATCTTAAATACAACTCTGGATGGGATTGTTAACATGCTGTCTGGTCTGGATAACAAACTGAATGATGTGAACACCAAGATGAATGGTCTTGATAACAAGGTGAATAAACTGAAGATCTTGATAACAAGCTGGATAAACTGAAATGTTACAACAGCAGTGGATTTTGTTACATTAGTGCCCAATTATCCCCAATCACAAAGTCATTAACAGGAAAGACAAAAAATGAGAGGGAGGGAAGCACTTACCAGAAAAAAGAAGGACCAGGGGGATCAGGAGAGAGTAAGAAAATTAAACAGATGGATCCATGCTACGTATTAGTAAAAGACTTAGAAAAAACTGAAGAAAAAAACCCTCAGGAAACCAAGAGGAAACTACCCCTGATGATGGAAAAGGCCCAGAAGAAGAAAAAAAGTGGAGAAAAAAAGCCTCAGGAAACCAAGAGGAAACTACCCCTGATGAGTGATAAGGGACAGAAGAAAAAGAAAATGTAACTGGATGTATTTTTTCATTCTGAATAAAATCTGTGTTCTTGTTCTTGTATTGTGTGTGTTCTTGTCTTTTTTCAGTAAAAAAAAATCCAGGGTTTGTTATTGTCTTTCAGTAAAACCAGTTTGAACCGGTTAGGCTAGGCTGTCTAGACTGTGAATGAATGCGTGACGTCATAATGACATTCTTGAGTCGCTGCCAAAATTGTAGTAGCAGCGTATAGTATAATGTAAACACAGTGTAAACACCCCGTATTTAGGGAGCTATGTACTGATCCACCTATTCCCCCAAGGACTGTACTGCGTTGAACCCCCTATTCCCCAGGGGATGCACTCCCTTGACCCCCTTATCCCCTCAACCAATCAGAATCCTCCATTTTTTGACCTCATTTGCATAATGTCCTAGATATTGACCCATCTATCTAGACGCCTTATTCTACTGAGGTTAAAAGACGGTTTCAATTTGAGGTATAAATTCAAAGAAAGTTTTATTTTAAGTAAGGTACGGTATATAAATCATTCATTTGTCCTTTATTTGACTATTTACTACGTTTCTACTCCATAACTAAGACAGGCGTATGACCTTTCGTATTAAAGAATTTTGTTTTATTTTTAAACTATAACAATGAATTAAAAATATTTACATATTAAATGACACATTATGCAATATTTCATTGAATTTTGTCATAATTTTGAGTTGTGGACGATGCGTGAAAGTGTTATTTAAAAAAAAGAGTAGAGAAGTTCCAAATGCCCTCCTTTCAATCCGGATTTGTTTTCGTTTTTATTCATCTAATACTGTGTCAACATTGATTTCCGCTGTTTGTCTCGCCAGGACCCCACACATAATTTTATTTATGTTTAACAAGTGTGCAAGATCTGCGGTAATTTAAGGTATGGAACAATATTTTCATGTCAATCTGAGCGAAGTGCTGTTCCACATTTATTAAATCAATCGTGTGAGAGGGGTTGAATTGTGTAAAATTAGACATGATGCATGCTAAGTAGGCCCTTGGGGCATTCTAAATTTTGATGTCATCTTTTAAGACAGGCAGTGTAACAGAATGAGTACAGCAGTACGTTTATCAGAATAGTGCATTTAGAAAGGGTTCAGTTACTTTATATTCATTAACAGGTGGAAGTAGCCGAGGAGGGAAGCTGAAGGGGGGGGGGGGGGGGGGGTTATGGCAGGTCAGGTATCCGGATTTGCCGGGAACTTGGATACTTCTAAATTAATAGTTTCTTTAAACTATAGAATGTTGGTAAAAGCTGGGAAACATCGAGAAAAAATATTATTTATATTAATATATTGACATATGATAAACATAAAAGTATGTTGCAGAAAAATACAAGACTGTCAAGAGTATGTTAAATTTTACCCAACTAGTAATCATGACATAATGGCATTATTTTAAGCCATCTCTAAAATAATGTTAGATGGGGAATGTTTCTATCCTAGAAAATTTGAACATGCACATTGACAGGATGAGAAGTACATTTAAATACTCACAGGGGTAGATAGCTGCAGAACTGTAGCTCTCTGCTTGAGAAAATTCGGACAGATAAAGCAGAGAGCTACAGATCCAAGCATTGTAAAAACCTTCGATTTACTTTGACAATTTTTTTGTCGCTCACTTTGGGTATTTTTTCTTATATTCTATACTCTCCCCAAATTTAGAATGGTATTTAAAAATTATTCATACATTTAACTGCAATTCCTGATAATTTACTTACCTGTCAAATCTAACAAATGGCTGCTTTTGGTTAGGGACGTCGAAAAGGAACTTTTTTAAACCGACATTACAAAACTATTTAAAGGACTGTTTGGTGCCGTTCAAACATGTCAAAGGTAAATAAAGTATAAAAAAGGTTTTTACAATGCTTGGATATGTAGCTCTCTGCTTTATCTGTCTGAATTTTCTCAAGCAGAGAGCTACAGATCTGCAGCTAATAGTGATTTGCAAAGAAGATTTTTGGAATCTCTAATAAATTCCAAAATTTATAATATTTTGATAATTTATGATATGTTGTATATCCATTATGGGACTCTTCAGAATTAGAGGCACGTTTAGTTGTCTGACTGGGACAGCATGACGTTGCGGATAATACAAAACATGCAAATCTCAATCCAATTTGGAAAGTTAAATGTATTTGTCATTCTGATCAAAGAGTAGATAAACTAATAGACATACATGTATGTAAGAGAGCGAGAACCCTAATTTCATCATCCATTAGTAAAAATACGATATTTGCAAGGCATGTGCATTGTATTTAGATGGATAAAAATTGATATTGTTGTCGTTTCTACTCTTGATGCATATAAAGTCCACAACAATAAAATGATTTATTTGATTTTTAGGATTTGTTCACCGACATCCAACGTATTAATTGTTTACATGCTTATGTTACGTTTGTCCCAGAAATCCCGTGAGATTTGAACAATGCATTTTACGACTTTTTTACAAAAGAGCGCACTGAGAACTTGAACTCTTCCTTAGTGGAAATAGGACATATTGTAATGAAATCTTTTTAAAATTTCAATGATATCATGAACTCTGTTATACAGAAAATTTACCTTCGTGTAAATAACATACTAATTTTGTGTCCCGTAGAGGTTAAAAATCATTAAATATTTTTTATGAACAAACTATAGAATATTTCAACTCTGAATTACTGGTCATAGTATTTTTTTTTTAACTTTTGAGCTTTAAGATAACTTTGTATTAACCATTTCATGGTAACTGAGATACTACTCTTTTGCAGGTCAAATTATAGCTGCAGAACCATAGCTCTCCAAAAAGTATATTGACAGACCGGAGAGCTACAGTGCCACAAATTGAAAACACTGTACATTTATTGCGCACAAAAAAGTGCGCTGTTTATCGATTTATTTGTGCTTTCAAAACTGTCATCTCAAAATATTACTAACCGTGTGTTCCTTACATATAATATTATATTCTTTCACTGTTTCCACAACAGAACATTACTTATACATGTAATTGTTGTAAATAGCCTTCATGGCCCTGAAATCGAGATCACAGAAAATGCCGTCTATTTATACTGCCATTTTGGTTTGCAAGATAATTCAGCACAATGCGCTTTGTGTAGATATCAACTATGCAAGTACATGTACTGGTTAGAGGAGTATGGGATTTTTTGAAATCTATATTTTTTGCAGTTGAGTAAGAATTTGGAAGAATTAATCCATAACCAAGGGCAACTTTTTTTGCGCTATAAATGTACAGTTTTTTCAATGGGTGGCACTGTAGCTCTCTGGTCTGTCACTATATTTTTCGGAGAGGTACAGTTCTGCAGCTAGGCAATTCAATAACCTTTGGTGAAGTTTTTGTTAATTGACATATAAAACAATAGTTATTACCTCATAATTTATTTTACCACAATTTACCATTTTGCCTTGCAAAAGAGTAGTACCATAGTTATATAGTGAAGTACTTTTGGCAATCATACTTGAAAGAATAAAGTTGATAATTTGAATTTGTTATACATAGTTAATAAGTTGTGGACAGTAGTGAAGTGAATTTTAAGAACACAAGGACTTTGCTTTCATTTAATTTTACTGTGTATATACATGTATTGCCGATTTTTCTTAGTGAACAAGATAAGTTCATTGTTGAGAAATTAAAATTGCAGGACATATCCCTATGGAGAACCCAAATGAAGTCGAGGAAGAAGAAAAGAAAGAGAGCAAAGATCAGCAAAATACTGCGACTAAAAGGAAACAAGGAGATGACACAACAGAAATCAAATTTCCCAAACCACCAAGTATGCCACATCTAGAGCAATACTCATTTCACATTTTATAATGTCTTTGTTGAATATTCATTTATAATTACATTCGCTGTGTTTTTCTACAAAGCCAACTGTGAAATTGATTTGAAAGTCAATTTCGTGTATACTCACGCGTAGAAATATACATGGAGACGCGTGCGTTAACGTGACGTCACAATAAGGCTACAGTGAATGTAGTAAAAGTATAACGATATAGGGCAGCGAGGAATTCAAATATTGAGTATATTTTTGGTGCTTTCAAACATGTAAAATGTAAATATAAGGAATGTTTTAAGCTTTGTGTGAATTATTGGTGTGTGAATCACACGGACTTGCGCGTAGGCATACTTTTCATGAAGTGCTAGCGCGCTTCATGAAATATGCCTACGTGACAAGTCTGTGTGAATCACACACCAATAACTCACACAAACTTAAAACATTCCTTAAATGATTTCAAAACTAATGTTAAAAGAATGCATTCCTTATACATATATATATATTGAGGGTAACTTTTGTAAATATTGAATGAAATTACTTTCAATAAAAATGTTAAAAGGATAACAATTTTTGTCAAGGAAAGAGAAAACCTCAGAGCTACATGTGTGAAGAGTGTGGGAAAATCTTCAACAGAGCTGATTTATTGCGCAATCATAAGCGTGTTCACTCTGGGGACAAGCCATTTACCTGTGAAGTTTGCGGAGACAAATTCAGAGAGCAGGGTCACCTGAGACGTCACATGACCAGACATACAGGTTAATATGTCTGACAAAGTCCAGCAACTACAGTTATTTGTTTAGTTCATTAATCCTTCTTAGAATGGATGTAATTGCCATGTAGGTCAGAAAATGTGTTCATTAACTGCATTAATTATTGTAATCGATTAAGTCATATAAACAATTGAAATGAAACAGACCCTGTCAGCACACAAAATCTTAAGATTATATTCAGTCATATAATCTTAAGATTTTTGATGGCTCTGCAAGAAATTAAACTTGAATAGCAAAAATTTGAATAATATTCTGTTTTAATAATTTTTCTGTTAGTTTATAAGAAAATGCATCAATTTATGAATTGTTCATAATTTTTTCCACTAATTTGTTTCCTCTGCCAGGTAAGAAGCCATACCAGTGTTACATTTGCGGGAAGGAGCTCAACAGCAGCCTGGCCAAACACCTCCGGCGCCATCTCAATGATCGACAGTTCTCCTGTGTTCTCTGTGACAAGAAATTTGTATCAGGATTCGAACTCAAGCAACACATACTGACACATAAAAAGGGCACATTCCAGGAAAATTCTGTGAGTACAATGTTAGCTACATGTAATTACAAGTACAATATTTAGTACACGATCTAAATGCTAAAGTAAGCTTTACTCATTGAAAAATATTATGTTTTGTCTGTGGACTTTCCAAATTTTGAACTCTCTAGGCTAATTTTAACTAAACCATGCCGTAAAGCATTCTTAGGTTTTACTTCCTACAGTAAAGGGCAACAACCTCTGTGATACTTTTTAAAATTCTATGATTCAAAGAGATAAAACTCATGTGAAAGTTTTTTTTTCAAATTTGGGTCACTAGGAATGGAGTAGGGCCAAAGGAAAAAGGATGAAAGTTGATCCAGTAAATCAAAAATCTTCACAAGAATCTTTGTAACAATAAAGGGTAATAATTAGTCATACTCTGGGAGTTAAAAAAAAGAATAAACTCTTTTCATACAAATGAAAAAGGTGTGTGTTTTTTTTTATTTGCTCACCTGAGTCACTCAGTTGACCCATTGCTATCCATTTTTATCCGTCATCATGCATTAACATTTGAACATTTTCAGCTTCTTCTCTGCAACCCCTGAACCAATTTCAACCAATTTTGGCGTAGAACATCCATGAGTGAAAGGGAACAAAAATTATGAATTTCGTGCCCCCCCCCCTTCGAGAAATGAGGGGTGGGACCAAAACCACTACAATTAATGCAATCTTTAAAAATCTTCTTCTTTACTTCTGGACGTCAAGCAGTCAAATTGTTGACATTATTGTAATAAGCATTAAGTCCTCTACCAAAATTCTGAATTTCCTGGCTGCAAAGTCAGTGGTTGTGATGAAATGTAAATATGATATAGTAAAATGTGTGAAGTCACTGAAAATGTTCAATGAATTGCATAGTTATGATGATATCTCTTCCAAATTTGTAAATTTCATGACCCTAGGTCATGGGTTCTGGTGTTAGGGTAGGGATGGATAAATCTGTAGTGAAAATGCATTATTCTTTGAAAATCTTCACTGCTCCTGGGTAAATTGTAGGCAAACAGATTGAAATTTTAATCAGCAAGGGTATTTTTCCATAATTTTGAACATATGGACCATTAAGTCAAGTGTTCTGGCTCTGGACAGGGCTCTAATTATTTATATCCCCCGCAAACGAAGTTTGGGGGGGTATATAGGAATCACCTTGTCCGTCTGTCCGTCTGTCTGTGCAATCGTGTCCGGTCCATATCTTTCTTACAGAGGGACATTAGAATCTACTACTCCACATTAAGATTGCTCATAACCTAAGGGTGTGTCATGACCTTGACCCAAGGTCATTTGGGGAAGTTCAAGGTCACTGGAAGAAAAATTTCATAATTCGTGTCCGGTCCATATCTTTCTTATGGATAAACTTGGTAGGTTCTCATTTCACACAAAGATTGCCCATGACCCAAGGGTGTGTCATGACCTTGACCCAAGGTCATTTGGGGAAGTTCAAGGTCACTGGGAGAAAAATTTCAAAATTCATGTTTGACACATATCTTTTATGGATAAGCTTGGTAGGTTCTCATTTCACACAAAGATTGCCCATGACCCAAGGGTGTGTCATGACCTTGACCCAAGGTCATTTGGGGAAGTTCAAGGTCACTGGAAGAAAAATTTCATAATTCGTGTCCGGTCTATATCTTTCTTATGGATAAACTTGGTAGGTTTTCATTTCACATAAAGATTGCCCATGACCCAAGGGTGTGTCATGACCTTGACCCAAGGTCATTTGGGGAAGTTCAAGGTCACTGGTAGAAAAATTTAATAATTCGTGTCCGGTCCATATCTTTCTTAAGGATAAACTTGGTAGGTTTTCATTTCATACAAAGATTACCCATGACCCAAGGGTGTGTCATGACCTTGACCCAAGGTCATTTGGGGAAGTTCAAGGTCACTGGAAGAAAAATTTAATAATTCGTGTCCGGTCCATATCTTTCTTATGGATAAACTTGGTAGGTTCTTATTTCACTCAAAGATTGCCCATGACCCAAGGGTGTGTCATGACCTTGACCCAAGGTCATTTGGGGAAGTTCAAGGTCACTGGAAGAAAAATTTTATAATTCGTGTTTGATACATATCTTTATTATACAAAATCTTACTTCTGAAAAACCCAGCGGGGGGTATTTTGTCCCGATTGGACAGTTCTAGTTGTATTTTACTAAGCGAAGTTATTCCTCTTTGCCATCACTGTAAACAATGTATTTGAAAGGTAAATAGAATAGAATTAGAGAATTATGCAAGAACATTTATTTTATAACACATTAAGTACTTTCACAGTTTTAATTATGGGTAGAGAGACAAAAATAACTTATCTTTTTAATGTTCTTCAAGGGCCAAGATAGGCCAATGTGAGAGGTAATAATGGGGGTTAAATAAAAGATATTTAATGGGAATATAGTTTCATGGTAATACTTGTAATGATAAATAAATAAGGGACAGATAGATACTAGACCAGTTATTTGTGGATTCTACATTTTTCTTGCTTTTGGGCAACAATTAAAGCTTCATTTATCAGTTTATGGATCCTCTTAATTGTTGTACTCAGGTGACCATTAAGGCCCTTGGATCTCTTTGTTTAAACTGAAGAAATTTATGCATACAGTAAGATGGAATATTTTTATATTTCAGTTAGTAATATACATGTTTATCAAGTATTTGCTGATACATCCTCAAAAATCAATGTGATTTTAGCCAAAGAAAACAAACATTCTATTCTATTAAGTTAATAAGTTTTTGTAAAAATATACATGTTTGTTATTAAGACAAAAAATGGAATATGCTGTTAATAGTGTTTTAATAATGCAAATATATATCCTGTAATACAAGGAATAGTGTATAATTCTAATATCCTAGTATAACTTCTTGACACTACTTTTATAGCTGATGAAATTCCTGTGTTATTATTTTTGCCAGGAGCAAGTTGATTTAGTT